TAAATGTACCACAGTTTTTTACTGTGATAAGTTCTAATTGCAATATTCCTTACCAAAGATCAAAGAGCAATGATGAAAATGCAAAAATGAAAGATTTAAGGATGCAAAAATGAGGTTATGAGCTAGGCATGAAGGAAAGTCAAGGGATGATTCCATTATTTCAAGGAAGATGCACAATCTAAAATGGTACATTGCCTGTGACAGAAAATGGAAGCTTTTTGGTGTTGATACTAAAAGGAGACAACAGATCTTGTAAGTTTGTTTAAGGTGTCTTTATCTTCAGCAAACCATAGGAAATGGCTGCAAAGTAGCTGTATGTGATGTTTCCTTGCTGAAAGAAATCCCCCTTTTATTTGTGAATTACAATTTCACATTTTCTGGAAAATTATTTTCCTAAAAATGTATTAATCTCTGATTGATATTATTGTTTTTCCAAACCAGAAAATAGTGAGGTTAAGTTTATCATTTTCAAACAGTAATTCTAGTCTCCCTTTGATGAAAACTTCATTCAATGCTTAGGGAAAGCCAGGGAGCAAACTGGAATGTCTTCACTGAATGAACTGCATGTCTCTCTAAATGATGATCCTGTTTGCTCTGCATCAGGTTTAAACATGTTTTGATGTTTCAATTCCTAAAAAGTCCAGAAATTTTAGTTTATTCTGGAAGTTTTAAGAAGCAGCAGGTCAAGTGGCTCTAGCAAAAGCAAAGATTTCTCTAAATGATTTTACTGCTGTGCACATTGAATTAAGAAGAAGTCTGAATTTCATAAAAGGAGTGGTCAGAATTTACTGAAAATCACATTCCTTCATGCTGTAAAATCTAAGTACCCACAGTCACCTCTTACTTTTAAAGATACTATTTTGAATAATCAGAGAGGAGTCAAGCACATGAATTAACACAAATGCTTTAAATCTGTGGGGATCTACCCTCTTTATTTACATATCACATTGTATACATCTCTACTCATTCCAACACAGCTATTCAAATTTTCCGTTTTAGTTTGAAGAACTTCTGGTCTCAAAAGCACAGTAGTTTTATGATAGCCTTTACTCATTTCAGGCAGGCAGACCTGATAGCAATACAAGATCTGATAAATCCTAATTAATTACACTACCAAACCTCTGGATAAGAATAACAGATTAAAAACAGAAGTATCACTAAGAGAAAGGGAAATAGGGGGGGAAGGAGGAATGCTGTCATCTGTAAATTTTTGATTTTCTCCTCTACGAATGTTCATGAGATAGTCTTTTTTTTTTTTTTTTCCCTCAACATACAGGTGCTACTCTATCAAATTCACTGAAGTTATACATTAAATATCGCTGTTTAAATACAAGAAATTAGACTTAATATAGAACGCAGTGGCAAGACTAGATTATTATTTCTAGACATGTGTTGCATGGATAGGAAGTTTGGTTATATCTGATGATATAAAATATGTCTCTCTCCATAGTAAGCTGAAACTTGGGGTAACTGCCTTAGTGAAAATCACTTTCCACAGCATTGCTGCACATTTGGGGAAGGAAACTAAGTTAGTCTAGGTACATGAACACAGCATCAACAACAGCCAATGTCACAGCACGGAAAACCTTCACATTGCTTGTACTGCTTGTATAATAACAGTCTGTATTGAACACAGACTGTTCATAGAATCATAGAATCTCCTGAGTTTGAAGGGGCCCAAAAGCATCCTTAAGCCCAATTTCTGGCTCCAGACAGGACCACCCAAAAACCAGACCCTAAGTCTGAAAGTGTGTTCCAATTTCTTCTTAAACTCTGGCAGCTCGGTGCTCTGACCACTGCCCTGGGCAGCCTATCCCAGTGCCCAACCACCCTCTGCATGCAGAACCTTTTCCTAACCCCCAGCCTGACCCTCCCCTGTCCTAGGTCCATGCTGTTCCCTCGGGTCCTGTCGCTGTCCCCAGAGAGCAGAGCTCAGCACCTGCCCCTCTGCTCCCCTCATGAGGGAACTGCAGGCTGCCATGAGGGCTTCAGCGTGCTCTTCTCTAGGCTGTTAACTGCAGGTACTCAAAAGCTCAACTCTATAGCACCTTCAAAGGGTTCTCTTTACAATGGCTGTTCATTGAAGAAAAAGGGGTGAACAGTTCATCAGTAAGAGTGTTGCAAAAAATACTTAGAAGATTTCTGGTCCAATAGCATTTACTGATCAAGGATTAAAGGATTATATATAACACTGAGAAAGAGAATTCCCACACACAGAAGCCAGATGTGAGTTCACAATCTTCCAGGAAGAAAAATGATTTTAACTAGCCTTTTCCATAAAAAAAAAAAAAAAAAAAAAAAAAACAGCAGGGACATTATGTTATGGAAGATCACCACAAAGTGTGTTATCTTCTTTATTCACATCTATTCATCAATATTTTCTTGGTTTTTATTTTTTTCTCCCAAGCACAAATATATAATTTCTGCTCATGCAGAAAATTTCCTCTTACAAAGTGTTGATATCTTTTCTCTTTAGAAAATTAATACATATATATGGACATAGATGGTGACACTCCAAAGTATTAGTTCTTTTTTATTATTATTTTTAACTGCTGAAACAGAAATAGTAATTACACCTTTACTGCCTTACGTTAGTAGATAATACTTTCTAGGTTATTAAGTGCAGACATTTTTGAGATGCCTAACAACTATTCAGGGGGTTGGGATGTTTTTGTTAGTACTCGAATACTAAATCAAAAGTACAGAGAAAACTTTCACAATATCAGCTTATGCAAATCTGCAGATGTGAAGTACTATGCATTCCAAATTCACAGCAAGAATGCTAGGAAAACAAGTTAAGTAGGCGGTAATGAATCTTTTCAGAAGGAGGAAGACAAAAGGTAGAATGAAAGACAATTTGGTTCAAAATAATTCCCCAAACCTATTTAAAAATAGAATTATCAAATTGCAACTCTGAACCTCCCCTTTTTGCTGATTAAAAACATCTCATTACTGTACACAGGATCATCATCATAAGACATATTACTCCATTCTCACTGACAGTGACTTATTGCCAACTCCAAATTGAATATTGATGTTTTGCTATTGAAATGTCAATGCCAAAAATTACTCATAGCTCTCTAGAATCAATGGCACCTCCAGATTTAACTACACTTCTAACCAAAGGAAGCTCAGTACTAGCTATTTCAGCTAAAAAGACTTTACACTAGCTTTTTAGAACGAAACTAAATGCTGTTTGTCCATTCTGTTTAAAAACATTGGGGTGAGGGGGAGGCAGCATCTATTATCTTGCACAAGAAACTAATCCATCATACATTATGGAGAAAGACTGACAGTTGCCTAGATTCTTTGAAAATTTTACTCATTGTCTTCACTGTCACTACTTAATCACAAGAAAATGTATTTAAGCTCTTGTAAAAATTATGGCTGTGGCCATTGGGCTGTTGATTGCTAATGCATTCCCAGATTCTGCTGGTTTTGTAATCTCACAATAGACAAGGCCTATGTAACATAACACAAAGTCTTTGAAGTTGTACCAACATCCCTTTGAAAATCAGCATCACCCACACTTTTCTAACCAGTCCTATTGTTCAAAGCATAACAATCTGTATGGAAAATAACGTGTTTGGGCTTCTCATTACAACAGGAATTTTTCTACTGTTTCTAGAAGCTGAAAGAGAGTTGGTAAAAAAATGGATACCCTTTTTCAGTATTTACAAATGGCTTCCATCTTCAGAAGGTGACTAGAAGGAAATGCTGCTACTTTTCTTTTTACAATCACCACCCACATCTCATAGCAGGGTATCACTCACAGCAAAGGCTGATTCACCCTTTTTTCTCTCCACACTAAAGAAATACAATACATTAAAATGCACAGCCTTGGTGTTCAGCTTGTTAAATAAATGCTGAAGAGTAGAATATTCACTCCCCCGTCTTAGGTGCTGGGAAGGCTGCTGATTTTATTTTTCAAAAGGGCCAATTTTCCACCTTGAATATACAGCTCATAGTGGCACTTCTGTCAAGAGGGGGTAATTCTTCAGCTCAGCACTCCGTTTAAAAGCATGAATTTGGAGCAGCTTTTGCATAGCTTCTAGTTTGATTCTTTTTAATATATAATAAAAAAGCTTTTGAAAACCTTTTTTCACCATGTGTAATAGAGCTAGTTTCAATGGCAGAAAGATTCAAGGGAACGTTCTTTCCTACAGACAACTAACACAACTTTAAAGATAAAATTCAGAGGTGAATAAAGTCTCGAAGGAAAGAGAGTAATATTAAGCCTAGACCAAAGCTGAGGAAGATATTCAGGGATTTCGTTTTCCTGGCAGAAGCAGCACTGTCTCACAGGGTAACAAAATTAATTATCAAAACAAGCTAGTTTCCCTGAGGTATTTTCAAACTTTTGAAAACAAAATTTTCCAAATACTTCGTATGACTAGCTTTCAAATATAAATCAAATATCATATTATAGAATACAGTAATACAGAATGTTATGAAGATGTCTGTGTAAAACCTGGTATAAGAACACCTCATTTAAAAACTGTACAGCAATAAAGATCATGAACCACAGCCATTTATATCTGAAAGATCACTTTTAGTCTCCCATCTAATAAAATTTTCAAGAAACACAAAATCACCAATAAGCAAAGAAGACACAAAATATATCTTGATAGAAAAATTCATTCATATTCGGATTTAAATCTTCAGGCTCAATTTATTTGTTTGTCCACTCAGATCAATGGAAATATAGGAACAATAACACAGAAACTCACGGAAAAGAAAAAAAAATAGATCATGGCATCATATTCCTTCTTCCTGAAAATGTACTTCCTAATCAATCCGAAGCGAACTTACTGTATTTATTTCATGGTGTAGGACTACAATTCATTGCTAAAACTGTAGAGATAATAAACAAGGGTATTTTCTTCTACAGTTAGAGTTATACAACTAGTATATTCAACAACTAGTATTATAAGGTCATTTTAGGCACTGGAAACTGTAGAACAATACACTACTGTAGTCAGTTAAAACAGAACATTTACCTTGCAAAATCCACAATCCATGGATACAGGCAGGAAAGACAAAGAGTTTAGTGCCAAGTTTTCCAGCTTTGCTGCTCGCTTACTAGAAAACAAGAAGAGGAAAATACATTTAGACTTGTCCGTTGTACCAAGGTTTTTGAAATAGCAATGCTCTTAGGGAAGTTCCTTGACATGGTTTAGGATCGTATGCAGTTTCTATCCATAAAGGAACAGAATGTATGTCAGCACCATGAATGTCACTCCTGAAGTAAGTAGCAGAGGCATGTGAAAGCTCCCAATAATACCAAGTAATATTGTGTACTCACTGGCACTCATGGGGAGCAGGCAACTGCATTAACTGCAGTAGCTTAGAAAGCAGTTTACTAAGGGATCTGAAGGTGAAACTGACACAAGTATTAAACCAAGAATGGACACTGAGGGGAAAAAAATAAAGTATTTTCAACATCAGGATAAACTTTCTCTACTGGCGATGGAAATTTGCACCTCCACAGCCTTTTCCATACATGTCTCCAACTCCACAGACAAAGAAAGGAGCATTTCTGAGCTATGGTATCCTCTTGCCATATTGAACTGAAATTGGAACATTACGTTCATGTTAATGGAACATATGATAAAAACATTCTTCAACAGCAAAGGTAAGAAAAGGTAAGAAAAGTTCTTGTATGTTTGCCAGGACCAGAATAAGTCCTGACAGAGCAAAAGAACTATAGATTAGACAATAATCCAAACTACACGGATAACAAAGACTATGAAGGACTGTGCTATTTCTGAAAATTATTCTGAAATAAATGACATGGGCTGTTCTGATCAACATGACCACCTATGACTTTCAGAAAGCAACCAAAAGAACAAAATGCTTTGGATCCTGCTGTGCAGAAATGACCTTTATGAGACCTTTCAAATTGCCTGAAAAAGACTCTGCACCTCTTCATAAAGCACAGTATGATCTGGGAAAGATTGTTTAGAGAAGTGAAATAATGAGATATAAAAAGAAGGAAACAAATATACTTAAAATATTTTAAGTATTTTAAATATTTAAATAGTATTATCTAAGCATCTAATTATCTAAGTATTTTAAGTATTTAAATATTTTAAATATTTTAAATATTCTTAAGATATTCTTTAAACACTAAACTGTAATTATAGGAAAGGCCAGGTATTTTAAGTAAATACATATTTCATGATGAAACATAATATTGTACCTAATTCTTATTCTTATTCTGAGGTACACAAATAGGTGAATTAATTCAATCATTTTATACTATATTATATGGTTGATCATGGATAAGATAATGGGTTAAAAAATGATTTGTTGAGGGAATCTGTAACATAAGGAAGTTACACAATTTGCAGAAGAGACTTGGAATGCAGCAAAAACCTGCCAGCACTGCAAGTAGTCTAGAACTCCACATCCTTGTTTTACACGGAATTGTTTTGTAGCAGAGGGACTGCAGGGGTGGCCTCTGTGAGCAGGGCCCAGGAGCTGCTCTGTGTCAGAGCAGAGCCAGTTCCAGCTGCTCCAAAAGGGACCCGCCACTCACCAGAGCCGAGCTATGAGCATTGCTAGGTGGGCCTCTGGGGCAGCAGAGTTAAGGAAGGGAAAAAAGTGCTGGGCAACAGCAGCTGGGAGAGAGGGGTGAGAGCCAGCCCTGCAGCCCCCACGGGCAGTGTGGCCGGAGGGCAGGAGGTGCTCCACACATGCAGCACAAGTTACCCTGTGGAGAGGCCCCTGGTGGATGAGGGCAAAAAAGTGTTAAGAAGGAGTGACAGACTTGAAGTGTTAGGAATTGTAAACACCACCATTCCTCATCACTCCACACTGCTAAGGGTTGGGGCAGGAAGCAGAGGAGATAGGAATGAAGGAGTGACGTTAAGCATAGGAAGAAAGGGTTGGGGGAAGATGTTTGTAGTGGTTTTCGTTTGTTTGTTTGTTTGTTTGTTTTCCTTCTTATCATCCTACTATATTTTTAACTGCCAAAAAATAAAAAGAATCTTCCCCAAGTCTGTTTTGTCCATGATGGTAACAGGTAAAGGTGCACCCTGTCCTTATTCCAACCCTCAAGCTTTTTTAGATCTTATTTTCTACCAGTGTCCTGTTGAGGAGTGAGAGACTGTCTGGGTGAGGGTCTGTCAGCCAGCCACAGTCAATTCACCTCAGTTTCTCTACATGCTCCTGCCAAATCTTGATTATGAAAGACAGACAGAGGTGTCTACTACTTCCTAATGAGTGATGCTGCCACTCGAGCCCCCATTATGAGGACAAATCAGAAAAAGCAACACTATTTCAGTGCTGTTCTGTGGTAAAGTTTACAACAGAACCACACTGCTTGGTAAGAGCATATAGTTGGTTATTCAATGCATGTGCTGTTATACTGATTAAGTCAACACTTGTATGAGACAAAGGGTAAACAAGTTGTTCCACCACTGCAGTATCTAACGTCATTATTTTTGGGCCACTTTATTGTTTCATTTTAAGAACAGCAGTCTTTTCATAGTGCTCTCCCACAGAAGCAGCAGTTCTTTCAAACCATACGGGAAGAGCAGTCTAAATATATATTTCACTATGCCATTCTACACTGTATTGAATTCCTGTGTTTATTATGTACTATTATATTAACTAAAGAGCAAGCTTTGCTTTCACTACTGCGTAGGTTTTAGTATGTTCAAAGCTAATTTATCTGGTGATTTTAATGGAGAAGGGGAGGAGCTTTACTTGATACATGTTTTTTCAGGTTTTCCCTTCTTAAGGGCTATTGCAACTATTTTTGAATCTTGCCTTTTGTCAGTTTGGGTTCTTCTCAGACTAAATACAGAATAAAAATAGAACAACAACAGAAACATAAAAAAAAGCAAATCCACCATATGTCTAAATGTTTAATTACCTTTTTTTTTTTTTTTTCTTTCTCTGAAACAAATGGGAAGTGTTTTAAATATTGTAGGAATTTCCTTTTACTTTTGGTTGCAGACTTAGCAGATTTAGAATAAAGATCAGCCTGAGTCTTTGGAAGCCAGGGAGAATTTAACTCTGAACTGTGCTTTATATTATATCAAACTTTCAAAGGGCATTTAAATATATAGATTCCCAACCTACCCAAAACAGTGGGAGAAGTCTTGTGTATGGAAGAAACACAAAAATCATACTCCCAAATTGTGAAAATATGTCGGTCTCAACAGTGCTTTATTTCTGAAGACAAAACCCAGGTGGCAGTAGGAGACTAAAAGACTGTCCTGACAGATTGAAAAAAGCATTCAACAGGTCTGCCACAAAAGGATCGTAGAGAAACTGTTTCTCTGTGACAAGAGAAGAGATACTCATACAGACAAGTGACTGCCTAAAATCTGAGAGACAGAAATTGATTTCCCTTGCAGTGGGGTGTCACTAGTGTCTCATCTTACAGTGAGATGCCCTTGGTCCCAAGCTGCTCTCTGAGTGGTACTAAGATGAAGTTGTAGAACTGCACACTTACCAAGTAAATAAATTCAGAGTTGCTGAGTGATACACATGAAAAATAAATAAATAAATAAATAAAAATGTGCCTCAGTACATAAAAAGTAGTGGACTCTGATCGCAGTATCACCCCTCAGAACTAAGATTTGGGAGACTTACAAAGCAGGTCAGAGAGGACATCAGCTTACTAATCAAGAAAGCAAACAAAAATGATATGAATTGTTGTGAATAGAATAGAGAAAAAATTTGAAAAGTTTTGAGAGACAGATAGGCGGGTGGTTACCACAATTTAAAATCATTAGTGGCACAGATAGTAGTCACTACAAGAACTGGTGAGAACAATATAAAATTCATCGGAAGAAAAGGTGAAAACAAACAAAAAGATTCACTTCATTCATGATTTGTGCAGGAAAATCACAGAACATTTTGCCCAGGTGCTGAGCTTAGTCAAATTTTACAGAAAAATCATGTGTGGCAACCAACCTTTGGTAGCTCTAGAACACTTCAAATTTAAATTTCTGTCAAAAACAGGAAGTCACCAAAATACACAGCTCAGGGACAGCTTGGATATATCACAGATTAGTAGTTGTATTTTTTTTGTCTGTTTGTTGTTTGTTTTTTGTTGTTGTTGTTGTTGTTTTTGTTTGTTTTGTTTTGTTTTGTTTTTGAGACATACACCAGGCATATGTGAAATTAATGAAGATAGTTTTGGCCTAAAAGCACAAAATAAACATGAGCATTAGAAAAGTAAGTTATGTATTCTATATAGCCTAAAATATGGCAGACATTGAAGGCCACAGAGCTAAAATGTGGAGAAAAAGCTTACTGCTTTATCTGTCAAATAATAAACATTTCAGATTTTTAAAAGGTTTCAAAATTTTATTAATAACGCTGAAGATCCTCCAGATCTATATCTTGACACTATAGTTAATTAGTTTTATGTATAATTTATGGCAGGGTTTCAGGCATAAAATAATGAATTGTTTTGGCAATACATTTTTGTAAGGCTAGTAGTCATGTTTTCCTTCATATAAAATCAGACTTTTTTTTTTCAAAGATTTCCAAAGAGATATTAAGCAGGATTCATTGAGGAGAGCAGTTGTTTGTTTCATAAGTTTGTCATATTTCAAAACATGCACTTAAAATGAACATTTCTTGTCAGGCATTAAATAATTGATCAAATAAAAATCCCATATAAGCCTAGTGAAGTCATTTATTCATTTATTTATTTGTTTATTTAACAGATGTGTTAGGTTGTTTGGAATATATATTTAGCTCAGAAACAATTTTTTGAAAAACATAGATGAACTAACTAGCATAAAAGTAAATCTTATTGGATGCAAATACTTTCTCCGAATGCATATCTCAAAGACTTGGTATCAAAGAAATACATTTAAGAAAATCTGCTGCACACTGAGGTTTGCAAATACAAATATTTACAGTCAACTCTAAGAATATGTTACAAAAAAAAAAAAAAAAAAAAAACACTTTACTGCCCTTAGTAGAGTTGCTAAGTTGTGCCAGATCACCACAATCAAAAGGCTTAGGTACTTAATGCATTCATTACCTCAGTCTTTAGTAGTAAAACCAGTTGTTTTTTTGGGGAGAGGGGGGACAAAATTGAAGCCCTCATA